TGTATGGAGCTCTCCGGGATACTTACAGTGCAAGCCCTGTGTGTCTTCTCATATCTCTATTTCGCATACTATTGAATGAATAACATGAGTTAATTTAAACAAGAAGCATTTACACGTGTAAGTGAACATAATGTGGCATGTTTTTTGTTGGTTTCATAGTTTAGATCTCGTTGTGTGTGTGTGTTTGTTCCATTTTGTTGTTTGTCTTTGCTGATATGTTTACTCCTCCTTTTTTTAAAAATTTCTATTTTGTTTTTCCTTCAGGTGCCGACTGCTTTTCCAAGAGAACCTCAGTTTACTTTCTCCAACCAAAGTCAGGGAGAACCTTTCCCACTTAAGAACCACTCAAGTATGGGAGAAGTTCAGGTAACAACAATATGAGCAGTTTTAACACTTCAAAAATATCCCGCATATTATTGAAGTTATAAAAACCCAGAGAATATGGTCCGACATTTTAACTGTTAAGTGCTGATGCAGAGATGTAGCTAAAGTTTTTAACAGGCGGGAATCTAACAATGATAGGCGGGTATTTGGGTCGAAGGCCCACTCTAGCGTGCCTTTGGCACGCTATACCTTGGGGGGTCCGGGGGCATGCCCTCCCCCCGGGAAATTTTGAAAATGCGTACTTTCGGAGATGCATTTTCCTTGATTTTGGGGGCAAAATCAAGGGCATTCAGGACAGACTTTTATCAGGTAACAGGTAATAAAGTTATGATGGACTGGAGTGTTGACTGTTTTTATTGTTTATTAATATCTAATTAACTGAAACCCGGAATGGTAATTAAGTGAATAAGCAAATAGTTTCAAGACTCAACATTTGTTTCAATTTTAGAACTTAGCGTGTTTCTTTCGGTAGACTCAAATAATTTCATGATACCAACGGCCTCAGAATCATCTTTCTTTTTTTTTCCCGACATTATAGAGCAATAATATTTCAACCGTTAGAGACACGCAATTATTTGGCATTCATTATTTCGCATACAAGAACTACAAATACCGCTAGCCATTGAGCCTGCAAAATGGACGATGCGGTGCGAATAATGCGATTATCGCACTAAATGGAGTGTTTACAATACTTTCAGTTCAGGTAAGACAGCATTGAATGTGTAAACAAACGAAATAAATAAAGAACAATCTTCTGACAACATTTAAAAACATTTTGCAGAAAGAAGTAGTGCTTTACAGCCGGAAAAATCGCGTTCACAGCCAGGTAATTTTCCCGGCTTCCGGCTATTATCTACATCCCTGTCTGATAGGTGAGGAGATAAATGTACAGAGAGGTTTCCATCAAAGCTGGTCACAGGTGGTCTACCACCATATATAAGACCTCTGCCGTTTGTTTAGCCTGTCTATGAGTTTTGCCTGAAGCCTCTTTTCTGGGCACAGCGACTGTAACACCATCAGCAGCCGCTTGTGGATAAATATTTTGAAACACCTGGAAACGTGATGAGAGTACAGTACTTTGACTGTTTACATCACAAAGTATCCAACCATTGCTATCCACCGTTGCTATCTAAATTATATTGTGATGCAGGGCGTGTGTTCAAAAATAGCGCTAAAAATGGACAAGAACAGCTCACAACGAGCCATATCTGAGTTGCTTGGGGGCATCGTTATAAAATGTGGGCCTATTTGCTATAACCATATACTTGCAGAGGTGTTACGTTTCATAATAAAGGTATTTTTCAACCGCTGTTTGCTATGTGAGGTAAGAATTGTACTTAGCTCTGTATTTTGGTGCAATTCCTGTAATTCTGTGTTTTTTTTCTTTTCCCTTGTTTGCAGGATTTTCACGCTTTAGTGAGATACTTAAACCAGTTCCCTCCTGGTGAATTCCTACCTGCTATGTCCAATTTTCACCTCTTAGTTTTTCTGGCAACTTCCAACATCCTTCCTTTAAAGGTAATGTTCATGTGTTGGATTCGAGCTTGTGATGAGATCATAGCTAATGAATCGCAAAGAGATGCTTTGTAGCCAAAATCTGGTTACAGAGTCAAATCCATAAACAGCAAAGAGAAGCTTTTAATTCTGTCTTGAAAAACCCCAGAACCACAGCAACTGCAAAGGGCAAGTGGAAAATACGAACTTCAAGGCAACAAGATAAGCCAGTATGAACTGGCGTGATGAATACAATGGCAGGCTCTAAGCATGAGGGGGTTGTGGCTGTAAACTTGATCAGAGGATTTTCACCACTCACAACGTAATTTAACCTTTTACACCCTAACATCAATATGCATATTCTCCATACTGTTCTGTACACATCTCCTAAGTTGCCAACATGGATAATTTGTCCAACAATCAGGAGCTTCTTAAGTAGGTGATCAGCTCCTTTATTCTCCTGACCTTAATGTTTGATTCAGGCGTGATATGGTAAGGAGAAATTAGATGCCAGTCACTCTCAGGGGTTCAAGGATAAAAAAGCCTGAATCAATCTGTAGCTCGTATAACGGAGGGAAAAATCAAGGCTAGATTCAATTACTTCTACTCGCACTTAATGTATGTTAAGGTTTTCATGTCTCACTTTTGTTGATTATTTGTGTTGTGGCAGGATCACTTAGGAGATCTGTGTATGGCGATCAGAAACAAAGATGCTGAATTGGCTCGTCGCTGGAGTAAAAGTGAACAGTGGTGCACTGTGATACAGCTTATGCAAGTAGCAAATGGTAAAATGGTTCCCACAATATCTTTTTTTTCTTTCCTATTATTTTCTTTCCATCTGGTTTTGTTTTTTTGTTTGTTTGTTTTTTTTTTGTTTATTGAATTCACCCAACCTCCAGAGAGAGGGTCCATACGCTGGTATTGATTGGTTAAGTTTTTTTTTTTTTACTAGTTCAACAACTATTTCTTTAACAGTACGATTTTAATAAAATTGGGACCAAGCGCCTGCAGTATATTCCTTTTTTTGTTGTTTTAGTAAAAGTAAATTCCGTATTGTTATTTTATTTTCCCTTTTATCAATTAAGATATCATATCAGGAATCTATGCTTACGGTTAAAATATTCCCTCCCCTAGCCCCCTCGCCAGAGCCACGAGGATCAGGGGACGTGGACATGTTTGATATGTCCCATTCCCCCCAGTGGTGCAGGCTGGTCGTGCAAGCACTGTACGTTTATGAACCAACACGGACACGAGAACTGTGACATGTGTGGCTTGCCTCAACACTGAGAAAAGTGATTAAAAGTTTGTTGGAAATCATTATTGCTAAAAGTCAAGATGAAACTGCAGGACAGACAACAAGGCACAGAATTCAGATAATTGTCTAGTTCGGCTCCGCTGAACATATTTTGGCTTTTTGAGAAGTTCCGCTAAAAACGTTTCTATTTCATCGCCAGCGGAATTGCTGACGGCACCATTGAAAATGCATCCCTACTTCTATTCACCATATTTAACTGAAAAATAATTGATACCAGGAGGCGAAACAGCGCGTGCTGAAACCAATGGAGATATTTCAGACGTTGCTCTACTGGTGTAGTGCTCTATACAGTGAATGAAAGGGTGTGACTGAGATGTTTTGCGGATGCAAATAAAGCAGGCGTCGTTTCTGAGATTTGCAAATGTGTGTATTTATTGGAATATGCGCATGATCACAAGCTGTACTTACAATCTAGAACATGCTTTACAGTAGAGCATTTAAAGATTATCAAGTCCTTTGAACAGTATAGATGAAGGTGTGGGCTTAAGTAATTTCTTGTTTTTTGCTTCATCGTAAAAATACCCACGAAATGGAATTTCTTCAGATGGGAGGCAGTTCAGGCCTCAGTTTCATAAATGTTAGCACACAAACGGATTTTTTTTCACGTTTTTTCGACTTGAATAAAGGTGAAATTGAGAACAGAATGGAATAACTATCACTGCACCCGACGTTGAAAATTTATGTTTAAAACGAATTTTCAAGTGGTACCACGAATTCATGACTGAGGTTAACTCACTCGCTCGTCGCCAAGTAGTCCTTCGAAAGGTGAATGCTCCCTATCAGAATTAATAATTGGAATATAATAATGATAAAAGAAGAAAAAGACGTCACACCTTACCCGAGGCAAGCTGGATTACCGTATTTATTCGGCTATAAGGCGAACTCGGCTGTAAGCCGAGACCCCAAACTTTGTACGTGTAGATTTGGCATGACGAGAGCCAAAAATAAATCGAAAACACCCGGCTATAAGCTGAGACCCATTGATTTTTACAAGACTGAATTGTTAACTAAGGGAAAACCTAACATTTTCTGAAAAAATCACATTAATTGTCATAAATGAGGCTTAGACAATGGTGATTAATGGTGATTTAATACGCAAAAGACAAAAAAGTTAACTATTCAATTGAAAAGCAACGAATCATAACTCAGATGAATTAATGTGATCCAAAAAGTCAATTTAAAACTAATTGTGTTGTTAAGCGGCATCACCGGTACCTACACATCCGTAGTGTCTATCAAAGAATCTCGTGTTCGCAATCATTTATTTCAAGTCAGGTTGTCATCATGCCCAAGGCTCGTCGCACGTCATACGACCTCGCGTTTACATCTAAAGGCAAAATAATTCAGCGAGGATCCTGAGTTTAAAGTGTCCCTCAGCTGGAACCAGAAGTGAAAGTGCAGCCATTCCGTCAGCCTTCGGACCGAAGCAACACTCGCTCAGCGTCTCCCAGAAGATTTGGAGCAGCAAACAGTCAAGTGCTATCGATTTGTAATCACATCCCGTCAGCGTCACGGTTATTTCCAATCAAGAATCTTTAACATGGACGAGACACCGATGTGGTTCGAACTACCATCCAGTCGCACTCTCGAATTCGAATTTAAAGTCAATAACCAATGATTGCATATTGTGTTTCTTTACTTTAGCTTGGCTTATAAGTAAATACATCCCGATTAAGTAGAGTTTACAAATCTAGTCTCGGGCTCTCTTGAGGCAGGTCATCAGTGCCAATCCACAAATTGATGGAGCGCATACTCCGTCTCGAGGATATACGAAACTGCTCTAGTTCCCCCATCCACTGCGTTGCCCAGACAGGAAATCTTTATAATTGTAAACGAATTTCTTTACGATCTGGCATGAAAAAATGATCTGGTTTATCTTGGGAGTGACCATCAGCTTTACAAGATTCAAGATTACGAGGTCTTATGAGAACATTTATTGCAAAACAGTTCCTTTCTTTTCTCTTTTTTTTTTTTTTTTTCTTTTACATCTGTGGTTCCTCTCATTTAAAGTAAATGACCTTTCAACAACAATAACGACAACAAAAAAGCCATGGTTTAGTTGCGTTTTTCCAGGCGAGTGGAAGCAAACGCAAGGGGGGGGAGGGAGGAAAGGAGCGGCTTGTTCTTTTGAACTTCTCTCTTCGCGTTACTCTCGCTCCGCGCGTCCGCCTCGCGCTTTCTTCCGTTAGCCTGGAAAAATGCAACATCGACACTTGTTCTGCAGTCTACGTCATCTTTCGTGAAAGGTATCCATGGTTACTGCAGTTTTAGTCTTGCCATGTTACGCTATCCGACAAATCACGCGATCTAAGTGTTTGAAAACCATCAGAAGCAAAATTTCACCAAAAACTCCGAGAAGTGGAGCTAGCACTCTGTAATTAATGTGTTCAGTAGAAATATAATTTCCATAGAAGCGTCAAGATATGACGCAAAACTATTGAGCGCAGAGCAAAAGGTCAGTGTTTCGAAACTGAAGGTGTCAGCTTACTGAAAACCACTCCTTGAAATTGTCTGCGTCATTTGGCGTTCGAATATGAGATTTCACTCTCGGCCAAAAGTGGACAAACCTTTATCTCGACTAATTTCATTCTATTCTGATGATTGCTGAGACATCGAAGTCTGACTGAGCTAAATGAACGTATGTTGCAAGGAACTGATTCGAAGCTGATAACCAGGTGAAAACGTTATACTTCCGTGACCGCAAACCAATTGCAAGTGGGCCTCCGAGCAGGGGCTTCAAGTCAACCTTTGGAGGTAAGAGTTTATGGATATTATTCCATATTGAGTTGAGTTTCAGTTTGAGCAGGTTCTTTCTGTTAATTACATCTTGTCTTAAACACATCATTACGACCTCAAGTGAATCTACGCCGCGCTAGCAAGCAGTTTACCTTCCCGATTTTCTTTTGGTGGGTTGGGGTCGACTGCACACAGGCTAAATTAAGCATGAAACTTCAAAAATACGTCCCTAAAGATGAAGAAAATCGCTTATACAGTCGAATGATCGGTTCAGTTTTACCAAGTTTGTCGAAATCATTCAACTGAAATCGGGCCATATGTTTGTGGAACGATTAAAATCAAAGTCTTGATAAAGTCCCGATACGCGACAGATCACTTACAAGCACGACTCGACTAGAAACTGAAAATAACATTAAGATTTGGATCACACAGGAGTGTTAACCAATCCAGTATTCACCATCTCTGAAAAGAAACGCTGAGTAATTTAGTTTATGTCAAGTTAACGGTGGTTTCAATATTAGCTTCGTTTATACAGTCACCACAGCACCTAGTGCTATTTTGTATTCCCCGTTCATGCTGTATTGTTCTTCATTTGTTTATCTGCTACCATGTCGTTCTCATGAATCTCTACCCACATGATACATAGCAATCGAATTGTGGAATAGGTTACATGCGAACAATTTCTCCCTTGAATGTAAAAGGATAGTTGTGGTGAGGACAAAGAGCTTATCGTTGATCAAGATGAACATTGAACCAGTATGTTGTGTTTTGATGTTTATCAATGTCATCGATAGGAATTTTTGCGAAAAATTGGCTTCGGTTGATGATTATGTCTCAGGATAATAACATACGAATACAGTGATTTCCTTTAAGAATCAATTTATCATAATGAAATATTATCAAAGGCCAAAAACGCACCGATGTAAGAGTAAACATGTGATTAGATTGAGTTTATTTCATGAATTTTGCCACAGGTTAAACAACACTGAAATGTAAAGGAGTATGGTGGAATTTTGAATCCGCAGAAATTCTTTTTTTCCCGGATGCGATCAACCATTATCTTCTCCTTACATTATTTCAATATTTGAATACATTGTAAAACACGCTGGTGATTGGAATTAGGAAGCTATCAGCCAAAAGGCCGGAATGCTGCCCTTACCGGCTAGGAGGAGAAGTTTTACTCGGATCTCTGTAAGAAAAGGCCAATTTGATTTTCAAGATATGATATGTCACGCTTTTTTAAGTCACCCAAAAGCAGATTTGAAGAGCATTTGCAAGCAATTTTAATAGAACAATCAGTATTCCAGAGGTATTTAAAACTAGTTTAATGTAATACCCTTGCTGGCCTTGAGATGTAACGGACATTTTTGGAAGTGTGGATAAAAAGTTGAGGTATTAAAATCGAACATCAAACTTACTGAAAATTTTGTCTGGGTCAATTGATTTTTTCAATCGGATATCTTATTCATTCTACCAGTGCTGAGCCAGGGAGTCTGACGAACAAGCAGCAACCAAATTCCTTGGTTAAAGAGTCATTTACCTTTGCTCAATTAACGATCCAGTATTTCTTCATGGCTACCGCTGCAGCACCTTCGTTTCATTCAACAAAAGAGACAACCAATTACGCCCGCTTATGCAGGCTTCTAGTGGGTGTCAGTGCACATATCTTGAGAGAGACATTTGACAAAAGGCGTCCGCCAGGAAACCTGGACACAGTTTTGTCCAGTCTTCCGATTCATCGAGTGCTGAAATCACTCCGAAATAAAAAAATACTCAATCCTTCACAATGGGACAAACTGTAC